AGTATGCTTATTTATAAGCAAAATACAACAAAGATTAATTCAATATAGTTCTTATTGTATCATAAGAGAACTTCACAAAATAAGGAAACCTTAATTTTGAAATTCAAAATATTAACTTAATTTTAAAAGAAAATTTAATTCAAAATTCATACTAATGTAGGGTTAATGGCCGGAAAAAAATTCTTGGTCCAACCATGCTTACTCTATTGTCTTTGAATCTCCATCTAACAATTCAAACTCATTGCCACCCAATTTTGATCATCAGGCATTAGGACGACAATCTATCATCACATATAGACTCTTAAAGGCTTGATCTTTAATATCAACATTGTGAACTAAGAATAAACAAAATTGACAATATTTATCAAGAGATTGAACATCAAAACTTGTAAGATTGTAGTTCATTTTATCTCTTCATAATGTAACGCACAAACTAATGAGATCATGAATATAGAGGATCAAATTAATCATCCACTTCATTTGATCCCAAATCAAAAAGAACCAATAAGACGTAAAGCTTTCAATATAATTTTGTTGGTAACGTTGCAGGGGTTATTAGGCCTTTAATATGCTGCAATGGTTAGATTAGCACCTTCATGAATCATAAAAGTAATTGTTGATGTGCAGTTTTGGCATAAGAATGCCCATGAACTATTTGTGACAACTTTTGTCACTAAAAATATTACAACAGTGACCTGGAAATGAGTCAATGTGCAGCTAAAAAAGACGAGTAAGATTTATTTAGGAGTAGGGTCATGTTTCATTGTCCCTTCAGATATCAAATTGAAAAAGCAATCAAGCAATGAATAGTCGCCAATTTCAACAACAAATGGATCAAATAGAAGTTTCTAGAAGAAAGTGACGACATGAGCACCAATGTTTTCTTGGCATCTAGTCACAAACCATCATCCTCCATTGTTTAGAAAGATTTTTAATCTTATTAACAGCAACTAAGGTGTAAGAACTATGTGTACTATTGCCTTCATCAAACTATTTAATTCTTGATTTATGCATCTAAAAAATTCCTTTGGTGTTCAAAAAAGGGCGGTCGAAAATTTACATTCATTCAACTCAATGATAAATACAAGAATTTGCATTTTTCAACTTCTCAATTTGCTAATATTTGGCAACTCAATTTCTATTTCTTTAATTTCGCAGACTATCCTACTAAAAATCTGGTTTTTACAGTCAATCAAGGCCCACAAATTTATTTTGAGTATGGTTGCAAGTTTATTCGAGTCAAAAAAATCACAATGAAGGCTCCAAGCAAGTTGGAGAAAATTAAAAAAATTCCTCTTTGGCACTTAGCATGTTCTAAAACTATATTGTTGGGAGTCAATCAAGGCCCACAAAGTTATTTTGAGTATGGTTGCAAGTTTATTCAAGTCAAAAAAATCACAATGAAGGCTCCAAGCACGTTGGAGAAAATTAAAAAAATTCCTCTGTGGCACTTAGCATGTTCTAAAACTATATTGTTGGGATGATAGAAATGAAGTGTAGCACTAAATGAGGATCAAGTAGTGGTCCAAGCAAGCAAAGCGGTAACCTTATAGTTGGTGAATGAACGTAGATGGGTTGAGTTAAAAAGTGTTATTTCCTATCTTTCCAAATTTAACTTATCATGCCATGCGTATTTATTTGCAAAAAAGATTTCAAGTAATTTTTCATGGTCCATACAATGCACTAGAGAAAACATTATTCCAAAAAATCACGTTATTTGAAAAGCAAATTCATAGAGACTGACATTAGAGATAATGGCAATTATTTTGATAGAACTAAGTTTGATTAGTTTCTAAAGCCATTTGAGGGAGAGCTGCGGGAGATCCCTCTAAAATTCCAATAGAAACAATACATTACACTAGGAAAGGAAATTCAACAATTTAATTGTTTCATGATTAGTATGCTTGTTGGGAGGCTCCCTAGTCTCTTTTTCCCCAGTCAAGTAACCAATTGAAGCTTATTTGGGTATAATAGTGATTTAGATGATAAATGAGCTTTTCTATTAACTAGTAAAGAGCGCTAGTTGATTGAGACAGCAGTGGATTGGAAAGAGCATAGAGATTTCTCAGCTTAGTTAATTTGAATTTTTTTTTAATTCTCCTCCAAGTTCTCGAGAGTCAAACCAACAGTTAACATGAGAAGAATAGGTGACAATAGTAATTACAGAGTCATCAAATAGGGTTGGGATCATTGGCAGGCTGTTAAAAAATGTAAAAGAATAAGGCAAGCTAAGTCCTCAAAGTCAAGTGACAACGGAACATTAGATGATGAACTGACGGGCGTAGAGGCAAATTAAAACTACTACTTAGATTTTTTATTTCCATAATCCATTGGAAATACTAGGAATCAGCCACTGAATCCCTATAAAGATGGTACTTGCAATCTTATAACACTAGAGGAACATTAGTACAATTTAATTGATTCTAAATCCCCTACATATTTTCCCTTTTCGCTCACTAAGTTGATTTAAATTCTTACGACCACAAGAGCCTAAGCAATTATACGTTGATCAAAAACTCATTGGAAGTGACCTAAAGCTCACAAAACATCTCCAACATGGTAGCTTGAGAATCTTCTGAACTAAAATTGAGCTTTATACGTACAACTATAAAAAAAATGTTTTACAGGACCAGAAAATCCTTCCAAAATATTAATTGGCCTTCTCTAAGGCTCCGTTTGTCGAGACTTTTTCTGCGAGATGCGGCGAGAGACCGCAAAAAAGACTCGTTTGGCGCGGTGTTTCGTTTGCTGCGGCCGTGAATCTGAGTGAAACGCGGGCCGCGAGATTAAACTCGCGGCCCCGCTTTGCTCCTTCAACATTTTACCCAGGTGCCCCCTCCTTCATGATCTCCTTCGCGATGCCGTCCTTCGTTCGCTTCGCTCTTTGTTTGCAGACAGGGAAGCGGCAACAAACAATAGTAGCCGAGGTGAGGCGATAGGGGATTGGACTCCACTCCGGCACCGCAACGACAGCCCGGCTGCTTCCTGCCATAGCCGGAAAGGGGAGATACTTTATCACAATCTTCGCTGCCACGATGTCTTCACAGGATGATGTACAACGGAAGAGAATCGCTACTTTTCTCTGGGCCCTTTTGCGCAACTAAGTATGTGCGGGAGGACAACGTTCCCTGTCAAATCAAGGAGGTAAGCTTGACTTGAATCTAATTTCTATTTTCATTTTTTTTTTCACGGAGTTTTCGTCAACAAGGGCATAATAGATTCCACTTTTTCGGTGCAGGGGCTCTTCCTGGGGTCAGTGGGGGTGGCGTGCAACAAGGAAGCTTTGAAAAGTTTAAAGATCTCGCATGTGCTGATTGTTGCCAACTCTCTTGAACCTGTCTTCCCAAATGATTTTATTTACAAGAAGATTTAAGGTGATCTATGATTTTTCTTCTGTTGTTCTTATATCACTAGTTATTGCGGTTTTATATCTCTAAACTCTATCAATTAGGGCAGATGTCAACGAGTTATATCCTAAAGTTTACTTTGTTACAATTAAATTCAAACAAATCATGGACTTACTTGTTAACTTGGCATGCATTTTTTTTAGAAATTAGTGAAGATGCAAGTGCATTTAGTTTTAAGTTTGTGATATGTTTATTAGAAACACGCATTAGATTTCAAAATATATACTAATTTTGTATTAGATTTATAAACTTGACTGATTTATATGTACATGCATCTAGTCAAAAACTTGGGATGGCCGAATGAGATTTAATTGGTGAATAGTAATTGATGTCTTTTTTGTTAGGTAATATATGGAATTTGAGAAATTTTACAACTTGATAAGCTGAAAATTGCTTGAACTAGTTCAAGGCGATGCAAAGTAAATGATAATCCTACAAGTCTAGCAATTAGCTATGGTTAGAGTCTTTATTTGTGATTCTTTATGCCAACTTCTACCTCAGCGGGCTTAATTTGTGATTCTAATTTTGATTTACAACTTGATAAGCTGAAGATTGCTTGAACTAGTTCTAGGCTTCCAAAGACAAGTGAGGAATTCTGGCAATTGTGTTTCGAGGGATTTAACTTATTTTCTATTTATATTGTATGTTTCAAAATAAACTGAAAATGATCTATAGAAGGTTTCGTTTCCCTTAAAAATTGATGCATTTATAATGTTTTTAGGTCCTACAATTGGAACAATGTCTGTGATATCATCCTTTAATTTCCTTTCTTTTGAAGATTGGTTTGGATTAGATGGAATTTAAGGATCTTGCGTGATATACTGTCATTGTTTAGAGTAGCTTTTATTTTTCAGTTAACTTTTGATTTGTTTGATGAGATTTAAGGTTTTATTGTTCCAAGTGTGTGGCAATTTTGATAACTTTTTGATGTTTTATCTCCATATTAGATTTATTTATTAACACGATAAAATATATTAATCAATCTCATAAATTTATTACATAACAATAATTAATTAATTGTCTAACAATTACATTTGTTACATATTTAACACTCTGAAGTTTCAATAAGTTATTACAGAATAAATTTTATTTATAGAGCTACAAAAATTTCACTGTTACAGTCTTCTTTTAAATAATTTTACCAAACAATGGCAAAATGATCATTTTTTCATAAACAACTGCCCGAAACAGCTGTTCTGCACTTGTTTTCACACAGCTGCACAAAACAGACAACAAAATGAATAAATTTTGTTTATGGAGCTACAAAAATTTCACTGTTATAGTCTTCTTTTAAATAATTTTACCAAACAATGGCAGAATGATCATTTTTTCAGAAACAGCTGCAGAGCAGCTGTTTTCACACAGCTGCACAAAACAGACAACAAAATTCCCCGCAGCAGCTTTCTGAGGCAGCGCAGCTACAGCTGCGCCAAACAGAGCCTAAATAAATCCCATCTAAATTAGCATCTTCACTTTATTTTAGAGCTTCAAGTAATATAATGCTACTTTCATTTCATCTATAAAAGCAATATTGACTTTTTGTAGCATAATGGGGATAAAAAATAAAATATATAAAATTACCATTACACTTACAGGAATCCCAAGTGCAACCGGGTTAACTGGGGCATTAAAAGGCCCAGCTGCATCCATTTTCATAACTTTCCTAATCACCTGAAACCAAAATTGAAAAGAAAACCAATAATGCATTAAGAAGTCCAGAGACAGCAAAATAAAGAACAAATTATGAACCAACATACGGTTAATGCAGAACTTAGATCCTTTGTATTATAACAAGAATCATTATGAGGAGCCTTTGACTCCATTTGTTTCAGAGAAAAATCTGCAAAATTTTAATTATGAGATGCTACCACAATTTTAAAGCTTCAACTGCCTATTGACAATATTTTCTTTCTTGAAATCACCTGAAAGCCCAGAACCCCTCGAAGATTTTATTTTGATGCTTCCTGTTTTTCTATTCAAGTTTTCTGGAACCACATTTCCTTTTTCTAAAGTCTGACCTTCAGAACAAGTAGCATCCATCTTATCAAAAGTCATTTCATTCATCTCCGTCACAAACTGTGAGTTGCTTTTATCTGTATCGCTGGGTGTATGTACGCTTGGCATTATCACATCTGAAGAACGTTTATGATCGTCTAATAATTTAGAGGCTTTGAGTTTAACTTTGACACGGCTATGCCCAACTTTCATTGTTGATTTAAAGCTTCCAATATCAGGATCACTATTTGAAATTTTAACAATTTTATCTTGAAGAGAGGAGGGCTGTTTCACCTCCAGCTCAAATTTACCTTGGCCTTCACCAGTTTGGCCCATATTATTTTCTCCTTCGACAGAAATTGAAGGTGAATTAGGATCACTAATGAAGAGAAGATCATTCTTTTTTACTTTTTTAGAACTTCCTTTGGCTCCCTTCTTCCGTTTCATGCCTACAGAATATTCCGTGTAGAATCTGCAGAAAGGATTCACATTTACACCATCAGTGCCTTCATGTTAAGGACCTCGATATTATGTAGTGCATAAGAATCTCTCACTCACAAATCATTCACTTTCAAGTTCAATTTAACATTTTTGCTGAAGAAAAAAATAGAGTTAAAATGGGACGATTTTGCAGAAGCACACTGTCCAAGCCCAAACAAAATTGCGGGAAACCATCAAGGAGCAGTGTTCAATGATAGTTGCAGTTGAATATGACTAAAAGAAGACGATTCCAAACATTAACAAGTAGAAAAAGAGCATTTTATACAAAAATATGTGGCTTGATGCCTATAAAAAACAAGCATAAAAGAGAGACTAGTTGAATGTCTAACGGCAGACCCCCGCATTGTGAAAATTCAACTTAAGGCGGAAGCCGGTTGACATTGTAAAAATTCAATTTTAGGCGGAAACCAACTGACATTGTGAAAATTCAACTTAAGGTGGAAACCAATTGACATTGTGAAAATTCAACTTAAGGTGGGCACCAATTGAAAGCTATTTCTGTCTATCAAGCCAATTTTGAGGGCATAAATCCGACAACACTAAACAAACTAGAAGATATGCTCTCCTCCTAAGGATATTTATGCCTATCAAGCCAACTTTTGAGGGCAAAATCTGTAATCAAGACTTGAACAAAAAAGCAACTTAACATTCTCTACACGTTACTTAAGAAAAAACGACCAACACCAATCTACTAACCCCAGAAAATTCTTCTCTATCTGCCCTAACCTATACAAAAAATGGGCATGAATCTTAGATCAATAGCTTAGGTGCAAAACAAAGCAAAAAAAAAGAGAGGGGGGGGGGGGGGGGGGGGGCAGCAACAAAAACTGAGTTGGAATAAAGATTCTCATGTTGGCCATTCAAAACCTTTTACGTTAAATGTATCCAATTTTACGAGGCCAATCTTCTGGGCAGCATGGCACAAACCTCTCATGATAAATATATTGAAATCAATAAAATGCCTCAACAGAAACTAATACAATAATAGAGTTTCATTAACCGTGCAAAAGCACAAACATATCCCATATATTTACCTATGTCGCAGAATCTAAACACTAAGAAAATCTGAACCGTCAATTTAAGTCAGACAATCACAAGTTCACAAAAAAAATTAATAGAAAGTCTCTAAAAAGAGGGAGAAATAATAAAAGCCCACCTGAAATCACTCTAGCAAAATTATAGTGGGCATATTGAGCAAGATATTGCGGGTAAACAGGGTAAGAATAAGCTACAACTGCGGAGTTTAAATATTTGCCCCTGCCATAATGACAAAAGCAAGCCGCAAATAGGCACATCCCATCAATGTTTAGGGTTTTGAAAGATTATTGCAAGGTAAAAGCTTCATTAAGGCCATGCAAATGTCGCAAGCCTATACATACCAATATCACAAAAAGACTGAAAGCATATTAAAAAAAAAATGTAGGATTGAGGAATAGAGAAAATTTTATAGGAAGATTTGCATGCATATTACTCAATTATTATGTATTTACATATCTAAAACCAAAAATTCAATTTTTACGCATATGACACCTTATCTATACATCAAAGAAAGTTTTGCATACATGATACAATATCACTTAATTTATATGCATTTACATATCTAACAAAGAAACTTTAAATTTTGTATACATGCCACCTTTCTTGTGCATGAAAAGGTGTTCCACTTTTTTAAAGCTAAAATGGTGATTTTTTTATGTGATATCAAAGATTTGGGTGGTGTGAATATAAAATTTAACTTTCGGTGTTAAATATATATAAATACATAGGAATTGGGTGGTATGTATGTAAATGCCCCTATATATTTTTTAATGAAAATTTACATCTCCCTATATAAAATTTAAAATAGTGCATTTTTTTGTGTGATGTTATACATTCGGGTGGTATTAATGTAAAAACAATTTTTGACCGATACAAATGCAAATAAATAAGAATTGGGCGGTATGTATGTGAATGCCCCATTTTATTTTGTGTATTCCGGATAGGACATCCGATTCGGACCGTAAATCACCTGATCTACGGTCTCGATGCATTTCGGTGGGCCCCACCTAAATTTTTTTTTAAAAAAATAAAAATATTTATTTTGCGTGCTGAAGTGCCGTGTAAAAATTATTCAATTCGGAGTCTTCCTCCAAAGAGAGAAAGGGGGCAAGCCACTAAGCCATCGAGCGAAGTGAGGAGAATTGGAGGCTGTTTGGCAGCCGGATTTCGTCGGGATTTACGCAGGACTTAACGTAAACCCTAACAAACGGCTGGAATGCACATTTTAAATCCTACTGAATCTTCGTCCCGCCTTACCTCCTCCACTTCGGCTCAATCCCGAATTTACTATAGTCCGGTGGTTCGGCGGGATTCAAGGAACTTAGCAGAAATTAAAAAACGCGCGAATCTTAGAGATAGACGAAGAAATACCCGTATATGCCTTCGCCTGCAAGCGTCAGTCCGGACTTCCCTGTAGCGTTTCGGATAGGAGTGGAAGTGGGAGAAAGACGACGGGTTCTGCCGCGGGTCTGGATTTCGGGAATTGTCCGGAGACGGCAGCTTACCGAACGATATTATTTGTTACTGTATTATTACACTGGAAATATTTATATAATAATAACTGAATAATATATAATAATATTTGAATAATATAAAATAATGCGGTGGGAATATTCCTTATGTTATCGGGCCGATCAACTCCACGATATAATTTCATTGGACTTCGCACGTTACTATATGTGCGGAGTGAGTTCTGATATAATATTTTTTCCAGGGTTACCTCAAAGGGATGCTTGAGTTATGGGTCTGCAGAAAATGGTTTTTACGGGGCCACTATCCTAGTCCTGGAAAAAATTTGCGTACTGTACTTAAGACATATTCCAATGATAACTTGACACACAAGCGTTGTCGGTCTCACCGCTAATATTTCAAATACTACCTGTGTGACCCGTCTACCCAGCCCGCTCGGTTATAAATGAGTTATAATTGATCCGTAAGCGTCGTGCAACCCAGTAGTTTTATCCTCTCTAATAACGGAGCTGTAAGAGTGGTGTAACCTGTAACCTCAAGACGATTGAACCTCGACAGTCCTGTACAGAGAGAATGTAACTTTGCGGTAATCGGCTGAGGAAACGTACCGTTCACGTAACTTGGCGGCAACCTCGGTAGCGAATGTAACATTTGTTTAACGCGTACTGCTCAAATACCTATGGTAAAAATTTAGACAGTAAGAATTTTTTAGGGTTTGTTGACCTTTTCGTTCACGCCCATGGTTTGCATCCCTCTCGAACGTTGAGGTATTGTTTAGGGTTTCACATTTGGATTAAAATAAAGGACATCGTCAAGAGTACGGCTTTGTTGGAAGAGAAGAATGTAGCGCAGTTTGACGAGACGGAGATGTCGGACGTGGAAGATGACAAGAAGCTTGAGGTCGAGCTGCCAAAGCAAATGGTGAAGGGTGGACGTAAGAAGAAGGATTTAGATGGCTCCAAGACGGAGGGCACTGAATCCATTAACAAGCCCAAAGCCGTTTCTAAGTATTTTGAGACTTTGCTTTGTTTAAAGTTTTGTGCTTTTAGGAGACAATTCTGAATGTTGAATTTTAAGCTTGAGCTTTTGAAAAGTGGTTTTGAAATTAGGGTTTAGGGTATAATGAATTGTTTTATTAAATAAGTTTGATTTTGTAGGAGATTTTTACTTTGATTATTATTTACATGGTTTAACATACATTAAAATTAATTGTAGGTTTTTTAGTGCAAAATTAATGAACTGCAGATGTCGTCCATTTGCAGTACGAGAAACTTTGGATAAGGTCCGACCAACTATCGACAAGCACACATGGAATAAGTTGGAAAACATGAGCTTGGTTCAATTTTTTGAAGTCCCTCCATAACCTCAGGATCATATTTTGAAAATGCATATAATTAACTGTTGGAATATTGATCGAATCACATTTCAGCTTGGTGGGAAAGAGCTCGAATTTGATGCTGACCAAGTTGCCCTCCTGATAGGCATGCCCAATAGAGAGTCACCCGCATGCAGGAATAAAGCTCCGTCCTATAGCATTGATGCGAGATAAATGAAAACCTAACTTATCAATTTTGGGTCAGGACAGTCGTCTGATCTTTTTATAGAATTATTAATAAAATTTTTATGGACTAATTTACTTTTTCCTTCAAGTAATTTTAGAGTATCCAAGCAGTTGTCTTCTCTTTGCAGTTGTCTTCTCTTTGCCTTCTCTTTGCGATGACGAATGATTGTTTGCATTTATACAGACCTTATATGACCATATTTTGAATGTTCCTTTGTTCTTCTTGATGTAGTTGTATAGACAAGGTAACTTTAAACCCTTCGTCGCACATATTACAAAGGATGTTATCCAGAAGACAGAATTAATACTGATACCTGTAATAAATAATCAACATTGGATACTTCTTGTTGGGACACTAACTGAGGGGAAATGGAGAGTTTATGACTCCTTATGCAATAGAATGTATTTGGTCATCACCCAAAGCATTGTAAGTATTAACTATTGTCACATTGTAAATATAAATATTGAAACATTTATTTATTGACTCAACTTTAAATATACAGATTAAACGTTTTTTAAAGGATACCAGTGAAGCTTTCGAGGATAATTTGAATAAGTGGCCAGTTATAATGACCAGAGGAATTCTAATGCAAAGTAAAAGTTATCATTGCAGTGTTTATGTCTGTAAATATATTGAGACACTAGCTCAAAAAGAGAAAGTAAATTAGGTGGAGAAAATGGATTGACAGGAATTGATGCCATTCTTTAAAACATAAATTGTATACGACATTTGCAAATTTGTTTTGTCAAAATCACAGTAGGTTTGAAAGGACAATATTTATTGTAGCTTATACAATTTTTTTACTGAGATTTTAAAATTGGATTGAACATAATTGGTATGTAACCTTTATATGTGCCTTTTATGAGATTTATAAATATACCCTATAGTTTCTAAAAATTTTTATGCACTTGTGACAGATTGCTTGTTCACTGCATCGTCTCAGTCCTCCTTATTGTTGGGTTTGCTTGGAATTTACTATTGTTCACCTCGTTCAACTTTGTAATGAGGTTTAATGTTTAATTTATTGTCCTTTGTGCAGATTGTTACTCGGAATTGAAGATCCAAGAGTGTTGCAGCTAGTTTATTTATCTTGATTTTCGGAACTAATGTAAGCTTGCTGGAAGACTTTAGAGAGGGTCAAACATTTGGTGTGTGGGGGGTTGTATGTGATTGTGGATATTGTGTTGATTGTATATGCAGGGGGGTTATATGTGATTGTGGATATTGTGTTGATTGTATATGCATTTTGTTTCCTCATTCAGCTCGGGTTGTACATGAAAGTAGATATTATGATGTTGTTTGTAATAAATTGTTAAGCATATTCATTAATACAAAGAGAAATGGTTTTAGAAATTTTATATTTTGTGATCATGCCGTGAGATATTGAGGCATTTGATTAGTCGCCATGACATTTTGATTAGAAAATCTGTTGTGCATAAATTCTGATTTATATTTGCTGTCAATGTGTAAATCTGTTGTGCAGAATTGGAAGTAAGTTAAAACCAACTCCATTCTGCTGTCAGCATTCTGCTTAGACCCAACTACATTATGTTGTTACTAAAGCATTGAGTTAAATCATTGTGACAGAACCATTGACATATTCTCTGGAAGTAAGCTTAACACTTATTAACTTGAACAATTTTTCTCATTAAGCTGTAAAATTTTGAAGCCCTTTAACTTATCCAGCCGTAAATTACTTGTATCTTATTCAGCCTTGTAAAATCTTGTTCCCTGTGAATCATAAATGCAAATGCCTCAATACATAAACAAAGCAGAAATATAAATGTTTCTTCAGAATTAGAAATTTCTCAATATTGTTGTCATAAAGACAAATGCCTTACAAACATCTCAATTACAGATTACTGTTTACAAATGCCTCAACATAAATGCCTCGATACATCCTCCTCAAAAAAATTACACAAAAATAATACCTAAATAAAATTCTTCATCCACGCAACAAATTCCTCAATACAAATCACTTTGGCTACAACAAATGCTTCAGTAATGTTGCTTACTTCCTGATTAGATCCTGTGTGAAAAAATAAAATAACATATTTGTAAATCCTGTTAAATAAAAACCTTGCAATTAAAGAACATATCAAATTACTTACTGATCATGTATTGAATTTGTCATCATTACAATGTAGAACTCATTGTACCGTGGAGGAAAGAAACTCTGCATTTGAAAGATCCAAAAATATTATAATAACATACACAACATAACACAATTAACAAATGGTTATTATCTTTTTCCATTGTATATCGACCTGTGTTAGAAAAGCAGGCAGTGATGACATGTTTGGATCAGACTTTACAGCATCGGGTTCTTGACTGGTTGAAACTTCTATCGGTTTACCTGTTGAATTGGTTATGGGTAAGAAACTTGTTATTGGATAAAACGTCCCAAAATCTATTTTTTTAAGCAAAAAATGCATTTTGCTCTTTTCTTTCTCTCCCAGTAACCTTTTAGTCTGGAATTGGATATTTCTTTAGGTCGCATTTTGGCGGGATCAATCGGATTTGATTCATTATTCACTATATTTTTGTTTTTTTAGCTTATTTTTGTGACTTTGAACCTCTTCCACCTATTATATCATCAATATCCAATGATAATTTTTTCATTGAATCCTTAATGCACTGCTCACCATCTGCATTTCCCTTGGCTATATTAGTAATTAGATATGATATTTTTTGCATGTGTGTTTTGAATATTATGTCACCTTTATCATCATTCCACATTTGTTACTGTGGGAAATGCTTGTATGCATCAATGTTATACACATCTCTTTTTACATTTGCGGACCATCTCAATAGAAGATATTTATCTAGGATCTTCTTAATGTGTAGAAAATTTAGTACTCGTAGAGAGTGTGCACATAATATTCCTATCATTTCGAATTTTCTGCAGCAACATTGAACTTCCAAACTGAAAGAATAAAAAATTATCACCCAAGTTATGTTTGTCGTGTGATCATCCAAATTATTAATAAAAAATTCAATTTCATTGTTTACAGAGGCATGTAATTGAAGACCACATGATCAATGAATAAACTCTGCCTCAAACATATTATAGAGCTTCATTGAGTAAAATACAAATTTCTACCTCAATATAAGGTTGCTTTTACCAACTAGAGTAATCACATATTGATCGCACTTGCAATCTTCGTCATTCTCGTTACGCCTCCATGTTCTCACAACTTGTTCAAGGCCCAAAAAACAATCAGTAATAGAACTTGCGGGCTTAGCGACACCATGAAAAATATTATTCGTTGATTCACTTCTCTGGATGGATAAAATTCACATTCCAAATACCTCATTATTAAAAGTTGTAACCCACTGATCTCTGATGTTGTACATCTCATCTAAACAAACATTATTCTGTAAATTATCAGTCTTAATCATCATCTCTCATGTATTATCAAATTCCTCTTCAGACTCGCATTTGCTCATATAGTTATAAAAAAGAT